TTCTGTATTTAAAAAATAAATTAATATATTTAACATATAAATAAATAAATAAATTCATTAATTAAATAACAAATTAACATGTATATAAATAAATTAACATATTTTTGTTTTTAAGTTTGAAGTTATTTAAAAGTAATTTATTATTTGTATTTATTTATTTAGCTGCTTGGTTTTGTCTGTATTTAAAAATAAAATAAAATAAAATGTATTTACATTTTTATTTATTTTTGTTGCTGCTTTTAAGTTATTTTAAAGTAATTTTTTAATTGTAATAATTTTTTTAAAAGTTATTTATTATTTCATTTAATTACGTATAGGCTTTACAGGCTTGTGCTGATTTGATCAGCTTTAATTATTAATTTGAGGTCAGTTTCAAACACCTGATCAGTAATAAAGCAACATACGGTTTATTTCACATGAGAAACTAAACGGATGGAAAATGGAGATATAACTGTTTTTGGGGCTTTTATAAAAGTGTGATAACTGTTTATCTGCTCTGTTTTCTGCAGTTAACAGGGGTCTTGGACGACTGTTTCTGTGACATCGAGAGCATTGACGTCTTCAACAACTTCAAAATTTATCCTCACATTCGCAAACTCGTAGAGAGAGACTTCTTCCGATACTACAAGGTGAATTTATGTTGCTATGTAAACCTCACAGAATATGTATTCGTAGTCATGAACGTGTTCGACGTGGCTTGATGTCGAAGCTGACTGATTTCTCCAACCTTGGATATCCAGCCAGCTGTTTAGATATGATGTTAAATGTTTGATTAGTTACTGATAAAGATGTATGCACTAAAACTTTCAGTTCAGTCAAAAAAGTATTTTTTTCTGTCCTTTTAACGTTGTTGCTGTTATTATTATCTATTAATATTTATACTTTTTTTAGCCATTTTACTCCATGCTAAAATAATAGTAAAATAATGTTTGTTATTAATATATTAACATATTTATTGTTGTTTTATATGATTTATTATAATGGAATTTATTAACAAAATATATTTATTTAGTTTTATGTTATACTTTTTTTTTAAAAGCCATTTTACTCAATGCTAAGAATAATAATTTTATAATAATATTTATTCTGTATTGTATTTTATATTATTTATATTATATTATTTAGCATAAAATATTCATAAATGCTCTTGGAAATAAATGTTTTTGCAACAGCTGTATGCATTTTAAGAGATATTTAATCCATGAACGTCTTGGC